CCACGTTCTCTGTAGTAAACCCATCCGTCTGTAGTAAACACGTCCGTCTGTAGTAAACATGTCCGTCTGTAGTTTAAACACGTCCGTCTGTAGTTTAAACACGTCCTCTGTAGTAAACACGGCAGTCTGTAGTTTAAACGCGTCAGTCTGTAGTAAACGCGTCAGTCTGTAGTAAACACGTCAGTGTAGTTTAAACGCGTCAGTCTGTAGTAAACGCGTCCGTCTGTAGTAAACATGTCCGTCTGTAGTTTAAACACGTCCTCTGTAGCAAACACGTCAGTGTAGTTTAAACGCGTCCTCTGTTCTAAAATGGTTCTTCTGTAGTTTAAACACGTCCGTCTGTAGTAAACATGTCCGTCTGTAGTTTAAACACGTCCTCTGTAGCAAACACGTCCGTCTGTAGTTTAAACACGGCAGTCTGTAGTTTAAACGCGTCAGTCTGTAGTAAACGCGTCAGTCTGTAGTAAACGTGAGGCACTCACCCGAGAATCACCAGTTCGCCGTATTTCACCGGATCCTTTGAGCGGGCGTGTTCGTGCTGGTTCGGCTGCAACATGGAACCGGACAGTCCGTAGCTCCGGTGTCGGAATCCGCGCGAGTCTCTCAGACAGACCGAGCGCTGGGGTTTAGACGAGAACGCGCGTCAGTCTCCGCGGACCGGCTGTCGCGAGCGCATGGCTCTTCCGTGACTCCCGTAAAGCGTGAAAATCCGGTCCGAATCCGCGCGACTGGTCCAGAAGCGAGCGGCGGCGGATGAAAGCAGGGCTGGCGGCGGAGTGGACCGTACCATGAGCTCGGCGGGGGTGGCCTGTAATTACCCGGACGGAAGTATCCGTCATATGGCTTTCCTTCCGCGTCCAAGATGATTGCAGATTAAAGTTTCTGCGATTTATATTCCTCTCGCGTCTTTACCTGAAAGTCAGGCGAAGTTTATGTGTTCATTCATAAATCTGTGTTCCCGCGCTCCCCCCGCCAGCGCGCCCAGTCACGTGTCCCGGATTGAGCATTACGTCAGCGGAGTCCAACATGAGCGAATATGGATCATAGAGGAGGGACTACATATAGTTTTAGAAGTGCTGGGATCACAAAAAATAAAAATCCGTACAAATACTAATGTAATAAAACCACGTATTAATATTAAAGAAGAGATGCTATAAAAAATTATTTGATAATAAAAGGCTGTTTTATTTTACTGTTTGTAAAATACAGCAGAGCATTTCACTTTGTGTTTTTTATTTTAATTTGCATATAATAAAATTAAAACAAAAACAGTGTTAACTGAGGTGTTAACCTCAAATGAACTACTTTAATGATGTTACCACCACAGTTACTGTAGTATTCAGATATTATTATAGTTTGTTCTTAATATTTTGAATCTGCTTTTATGTTTATATTTTCATTTTGGTTTGAATTTGTTGATTTTCTTATAATTACAGATACATCACTTTATTGTGTACTTAGTGCAAGCATGGGAACGTGCCGTATATTGAGCATATTGTGAAAGCTTTTGTACCTTTTTCTGAAAGTGTGCTTGATTTATCACATCATATCTGCAGTGCTTCTAGACTGAATCCCATCAGGAACCTGCTGCTGCTTTCTTAGGGACCCTCAGTCGTAGACGAGTGGATGGCTCTACAGCACAGGAAGTGATTCTTCTGTTTCCGTGGCGATAAGCTGCTGAGAAAGCAGACAGGAAGTCGCCCTGAGCGGTACTTCCTTCCTTCCTTCTTACATATTTTCCCAAATGGAGTCGTTTGAACAAACACTTTTTACCTTCCCATCATGCACTGTCACTTTTAAACGTTATATGGTAACTATTATTATAAAACATGTTCTGACGGGGTTTATTGGTGCGTGTGTCAGTGTTTATTCACGTGCATTTTGTTCCAGACTTGCTTGATAGCTTTTCAGTGAAGTTTGGGAGTTCATAGAAGTGTCTCTCAAGCTACAGAAAGAAGCATACAAGTATCCAAGCCATCCGAGAGCAGGATGAGTTTGTTTCTTCATCAGATTTGGAGAAATTGCATCAGTGTCTCACTGCAAGTGAATGGGTGCCGTCAGAATGAGAGTCTGATAAAAACATCACAATAATCCACAGCACTCCAGTCCATCAGATAACATCTGGAGAAGACAAAAACTGAAACACATCCAGCATTAAGACCTTTTTAACTCAAGCACATAGAGTTCATAATCCATAATAACTCTTCCTCCAGTGAAAAAGTGCATCTGCTGTTGTCTCTCACATCAAAATCCAGCTACATATGTGTTTAGAGCTGTTTAAACGCTGCTTGATCTGTGCAGATTTCTCTCCTGATTCACACCAGAACACTGACTCACTGGAGGAAGAGTTATTATGGATTATGAACTCAATGTACTTGAGTTAAAAAGGTCTTAATGCTGGATGTGTTTCAGTTTTTGTCTTCTCCAGATGTTATCTGATGGACTGGAGTGCTGTGGATTATTGTGATGTTTTTATCAGACTCTCATTCTGACGGCACCCATTCACTTGCAGTGAGACACTGATGCAATTTCTCCAAACCTGATGAAGAAACAAACTCATCCTGATCTCAGATGACCAAAGGGTGAGCACATGCTCATTTTTGGCTGAATTATGCTTTTCAAACCTGTTGATTTGAACCCGTCGCACGCAGGTCCAGTGAAACCCCAGGCGGAGCAGCATATGTGTGAGGCGTTCAGCGTCTGTAATGTGTGTGACGTGTGCATTAACACACGCTAATGATGTCCTGAGTGAGTCATGGGCTGGTTGATCGCTGTGGAGCGTCTGTTCTACATCAGATATCAAGTCTGCGATGTTTCAGGTGGAGAACAGCAACTCAAGAAACACTAAAAAAGGAACAAATCTGAAGTTTCAAGTGTGTTCGGAGATTTCGTTGTGTTTACAAACCAGTGTTTGAAACCAGACTGAAAACAGTGGGCGTGAAAACCAGTAAACAGACCGTCGGGAATGAGCCACAGATTCCAGAAAGTCTGAAGCGTTTAGAGAAGAAAATCCTTTCAGAAACAAGCAGACGTTCAAACATTAAGCCTGAAAGCATGAACCATTAGTGGGGTTTTCTAACACAAACTTCACTATAATAACGCACATAATTAGTGGTCAGTAATGTGAGACTGTCATTTAGCTAAAATTCAAGATACTGGGCCAAAAAATGCCCCTGTATGAGTTTTTGTCTTATATTTTTGTTTTAGTTACAATATAGTTTTGCAGATGCAAATATTAGCTATTAAAGCCACAGCAGATATGTTGCGCATCTCTGAACAACACAGTGGTGATTCGTTTCTGAATGAATCCACATTTCGAATGAATCGAGTGAATCAGCGATTCAATGGCCCTTTCATGAAGAGAGTCATTTACTTCATTCCTGAATGAATCAGCAGTTTAAATGAATCAAATGAATGAATGACTCAACGACTGCGAAATTAGACCTTAGTGGACATTATCGAGTGCACTCATTCAATCCCACAGTGCACCGCTATAACGAGATGTGGCTAGAGAATACCCATAATGCACTGTGAATGTAGCATGCCGAGTGAATTCCCGCATCTGACCAGAAGATGGCGCCAAGCCATTGTTTCTGCCATATTCTCTTTTGTCGCGGTTTCTTCTTTCTTTCGGATAAAATAACTTCACAGACCAATTGAAGGGCCAGTTGATCGTCCATGCTTGAAGAAATGGCCTATAATCGCTGTCATTTCTCACGAGAATTTATATGAGAAAACATATTTTCACTGATGGTCGGGAACACCTCTTCACTGAATGTTTTGTAGTGCACACCTCGTTAGCGTTGTGTTGTGTAGTATGCGCGCAGCTATGACAAGACGACGACAGATGAGAACAAATCATGTTGCGTTGTGATTCGGCTAGTCTTTCAATCCTGTAGTGTGTGCCCGGCTTTACCCATTAATAAAATCAAATTTAGTTTAGCTTTAAAGTTTTAGTTTCTTATTTAAAGTATCATTTCATTTAAAAAATAATTTCATATTCATACACTCATACACACACACACACACATATATATACATATATACTGTATATAAACTGAAAATAAAAAAATCCATCCAAAAAAGTAATTAAAGGGCTAGTTCATCCAAAAATGAAAAATGAAATAAATAAATGAAAAAAAATCTTTCTAAAGCTACTTTTTGTAATATCTTTGTCATGCTTTTCACATGTAACACAATAATGGCTTTAAATGATCTTTTGTGGGTAATTTCTCAGCCAAATTTGATGTGTGATTAATATGTGATTAATTAATCGCCACACTGTGTAATTAATTAGATTAAAAATGTTAATAGATTGACAGCTCTAATATATATATATATATATAAAATAAAAAGTAAAAATTTGTATGCATAGTATAGAATAGTTTAAAGGTGACATATCATGAAAATCTGACTTTTCCAGGTTGTAAGTGCTATAATCAGGTCTCCGGTGCATCTACCAACCAAGGAAACGTGAAAAAGATTAACCCAGTAACTCTGTTTTGGGAAGCCTTTTTCTGCAAGCGTCTGAGAAAACGAGCGCGTCTGATTTCGCTCTCTTGGTGATGTGGCAAAGGATCTCATTATAATATTACCGCCCCTTAATCTGTAAGTTTCCACCCACGGCGCCGTTATTTTGATTTCACAAGCGACAGCGGTGTATTACTTCTAATGCCATGATGAAAGTTTGAGCGAAGCATGTTAACTGTTCTGTGTTTGGCTGCAGAGACGAGCACAGAACACTGTTTAGAGTCCCAGCCTCAGAGACAACAGAGCAGAGGATTTATTGATGTATTTACTGTATATCCGGTGCATCTACCAACCAAGGAAACATGATAAACATTAACCCAGTAACTTTGTTTTGGGAAGGCTTTTTCTGCAAGCGTCTGAGAAAACCAGCGCGTCTGATTTCGCTCTCTTGGTGACGTGGCAAAGGATCTCATTATAATATTACCAGCCCTTAATCTGTAAGTTTCCACCCACGGCGCCGTTATTTTGATTTCACAAGCGACAGCGGTGTATTAGTTCTAATGCCATGGAGAAAGTTTGAGCGAAGCATGCTAACTGTTCTGTGTTTGGCTGCAGAGACGAGCACAGAACACTGTTTAGAGTCCCAGCCTCAGAGACAACAGAGCACAGGATTTTTTGATGTATTTACTGTATATTGCTGCTGCCACACAGATCTAAAATAAACATGTGATTTATTTCCCAGCTGTTTACCTTCACAGACATAACCCACTGTTTTTGTAACTCGTGTGTTTTTAAGGTAAGCTTGTGTGTGAATGAGAACTTAGTTTAGTGCTCGCATGCTGCGACAGCCGCTTTCTGTGCGTGTGCTTCAGATGTGTGCGCTCAGAAAACCTTATATCAGAAGTTTAAACTCATATGGTTTAAAACACATGATAATATGTGTCCTTTAAGTATATAATCAAATTAGGAAAAAATTATGTGCATGGATAAATCCTTTATAATAACAAACACTGCAATATTCTATAACAAAGTTTTAATTTTATGGCAACTTTAAGCACTATTGTCTAAATTAGGCTCTGCAACATTTTAACCATCGTTCAGAAATTTTATAGTATATGCAAAATATACTATAGGCCTATTTTATATGCAAAAAAGATTTTTCAAAGTATTGTATTAAAATAAAGATTATTGGCGTATGTAATACACGTTTCTAATTTATTTTACATTTAACTTACTTGCTGATTCTTTGACATTTTGGTAAAATTCACCATCAATTTTTTTTCAGTGAATAATGAATAAAAAAAAGCTATATTCATTAATAATTAAATAAATAAACCCCCACATTTTTAAAATCTAATTTAAAAGTATTTATACATCTTAGTTAATATTTGTTGTACTGCATTCTTTTTTAAATAAATTAATAATTTATATTTTAGCATTAACATGTAATATTTAATTACTGTGAGTGAAACCATTTAATTTTTATTTAATAATCTTTATGCTAATTAGCTTAATTTTCATTAAGTTGAATATCGTTTATTTTGTTTTTCTTTTAAAGGATTAAATGTGAGCTGAGCATGTTTTCTTGAGATTCATTAGCCACAGATATGCATTAAAAAAATAAATAAATGAGGTATGAAAGTTGCTGACGTGTGCCAAGAAACTGAATTTAATTGAACAGAGATGTTTGTTTTTCAAATATATTGTAAAACACTCGAGCAGAACTGGTGAAATCTCTTATATTAATCTCTTTCTACACCCATCATGATATTGACTTCGCAATATCACCAGAACGTCACAGATCCATGATGAACTTGAACACGCTTTCATCGCTCCCGAGTGAAAACTGAGGGAAACAGCAGGTCATTCGACCCTGAAACCAAAGACTCATCACTAATTCAGATGAAAACAGACAAACACACGGACACTGAAAATCCATGACGTTCTGCACGTGCTTCGAGTTTCTGCAGGTTTGAGACTTTTAACACCAAATAAAGAAAAATGAAGGAACAAAATGAAAGGGAAATAAGTTGGACTGTACTGTAAAACAGTGCTGCTTTTCCTCAGTGTTTCCAGTCCGAATGTCTAAAGATTCATAAATCAACATTTACTGGAGAATCAAATGACATGAAGTCTCGTTTTCTGAGAAACTGATCAAAATGAAGTGTTTATGATTAAAACAAGAACAAATACCCGTCAGTGCGGGCTCAGCAAATCTATTTAACTCTATGAATCTAGTTTTTTGCAGTGCATGCAACATTTAATGCCATGAACTTCAGACCTTTTAAAACCTGCAGAAAGCACGTTCCTCCACAATTACATATATATATATTATTATTTCTTCAGCATAACAAATAAGTCAAAGTAATGAAACAAAGCATTAATTTAGTACGAGAAAAAGAGGCTTGGTGTGATTTGTGCGGTTTGCGGTTACGGTTTGAAGAGAGTCGGCACCAGAACCAATGATAGAAACGGGTTAGGACGGCTGGCTTAGACCAGAATCACTCAAAATGGTGTTCTGTGGTTCCCGGCTTCACATCACCAGGAGAACGCGTTTAACGCAGCACCTCAAGAAAAGACCAAGAACAGTGTGAATATAAGCGCGTTTCTTCACGGAACACAGTCAGATCTTTCTGCGTTTATTTCAAAGCTCTGCTCGAAGTGATTTTCTCCGTACATGCGTTATACGTGATGGCACGGAGGTGAACTAAAGCTGCCATTTTTGGACAAACAAACCAGATCTTCGGACACAAAAACCCTTTTCCGGGATTTAGGAAAAAGACCCCACAGCTTCTGAAAGTAATACTTTATGGACATTCAACAGGAGTGTACGAAAGAAAAAGTCGGGTTACATGTCACCGAAATCAAAGACAGAGAATAAAACCAAACTTTACAGACAGAAGCCAGAGTTATTGGTTAATTGCTTCTACACTCTAAAAAAAATGCTGGGTTAAATACAACCCAGTGCTGGGTAAAATAGGGACAAAACAGCCAAATTGCTGGGTTCGTCCCTATTTTACCCAGCACTGGGTTGTATTTAACCCAGCATTTCAAAACAGCCCAATTGCTGGGTTTGTCCCTATTTTACCCAGCACTGGGTTGTATTTAACCCAGCATTACAAAACAGCCCAATTGCTGGGTTCGTCCCTATTTTACCCAGCACTGGGTTGTATTTAACCCAGCATTTCAAAACAGCCCAATTGATGGGTTTGTCCTTATTTTACCCAGCACTGGGTTGTATTTAACCCAGCATTTTTTTTAGAGTGTAGTTTCCACGCGTGCGTCTTCGCCCGCTCGCGTTAGGATTTGTAATTGGACGTGAGCCAGGTGAGCCCTTCGTAGAGTCCGTCGCCCGTCGTAGCGCAGGCCGGCTGAACGTACCAATTACGATCTCTGATCCGAGTCAAACCCAGCTTCTCCTGGATCTCGTGCGGCTTCATGGCGTCCGGAAGGTCTTGCTTGTTGGCGAAGATCAAGATGATTGCGTCGCGCATCTCGCGGTCGTTAATAATGCGATGCAGCTCCTGTCTAGCCTCGTCGATCCGGTCACGATCCGCACAGTCCACTACGAAGATCAAGCCTTGGGTGCCGGTGTAATAGTGCCGCCAAAGCGGACGGATCTTATCCTGACCGCCCACGTCCCACACGTTAAACTTGACGTTCTTGTACGTAACGGTCTCCACGTTGAAGCCCACCGTCGGGATGGTGGTGACCGACTGTCCCAGTTTGAGTTTGTATAGGATCGTCGTCTTTCCCGCCGCGTCAAGTCCAAGCATCAATATTCTCATCTCCTTGTTGCCGAAGATCTTCGAAAGCATCTTCCCCATCTTTTTGGCTGTGCATATATTAAATGTGTTGCAGGAAGAGGGACGAGGGTTTTTGGTCAGTCAGAAAAACACATATATTCGCAGTACTGCAAACAACCTTCAAAATTCAGAAACAAAACCCGTCAGGTGTGCTTGGATCTGTGAAAGGCCTTTCCTCAGACTTCCTTCCGGTGCACCCGCTGTCGGGTCGCGTTTGTTTTGCGCACATTCCCTTCAGACGCGTTTCAGATCGTATGTTCTGCTCGAGGCTGTGAGAAAAAACTCCAAACGTCAGTCATGCATCCCGAGTTCCCCCTCTTCAGTCCCTGAAACACGAGAGAAAGCGGATGAGAAAAGGGAGGGGTGTCAAACACAACTTTATTCTTGTAGTTTCACTTCGTGTTCTGCTCGTACTAAGCATTCACCTCGTATAACAGCCGCCCTCTCGCGCACCCCGGGTCGGTTCTGTCCCCTCTGTTCCTCTCCGGTCGCTCTCTCGGTCCCGGTCGTGCCGCTGTCGGTGTTACCGGAAAAGGTGCGGAGCTGCTTCAGCCGCCACTTCCTCTCTTCTTCGCTCAGGCGCACTGCGCCGTCTGCTATTCGAGCGCTCGGATCTACTACGGCGAAGGCTCTGCTCATTAATATTCATGACGCGTTTGTTTGCCATTGGACAGAGTGCGGCTACGTCAGCAATGCGTAGTTAATATTCAACAGACTTGCATTCGATACATTGTGATCAAAAAGCAAGGCGAGAACGACTTCGTTAATATTCACGTATTAAAGAATTCGCCTTAAATAAGATATAATAACGATATTTTTTTTATTTTTTATTTTATCCAACGCGACTTACAAATGAGGACGACAGAAGCAATCAACTGTAGTATTAAAACAACTAAAAACTAAAAGCTAAAACTTTATAAATACTACCTATACACATTTAGAAAATAAAGAGATTAAATAAAAATGACAAATCCATACAACATGAAAAACAAAAATGAAAAAATAAAGCTAAAAACAATTAAAACACAAAAGGTATGAGTATAATAATGATTCTAACATAACACCAAAAAAAACAACCACACACACATGCATATATATATATATATATACATGCATATTTGCATTTTCCCTTTATTACATAAACCCTGAGCTCGGTTTCAGATCGAAAGTTTTTTTTATTACTGCATTAAATTCTATTCAGTTCAACTGTACATATTTTTAACATATTTTGTTTAATAATGTAAGGAATCGTGTGTTTGAGGTGGCCTATTTTTTAACACAAAAGTAACCTAATCAAAAACACAGAGTATACACGTCATAGAACAGAGAAGCTCTAAATGTACACGAAAAAGTACTAAAAGCTTTCGGTTATTTTTAGGGTCGACTCAAATTAGATTTATTCAGCGTGGGTTGACTATATTGTTACATTATTAGTTTACTTACAGTGATACATATACTGGGAAGATGATTATTTTTATTGTAATGAAGCACTGTAACTTAAGGAAGCCTGTTTCTGCTATGAGAATAATAATAATAATAAAAAGAATAATAATAATAAAAAAAATTGTGACCTTTTTCCTCGCAATTCTGCATGTTTTTTCTCCTGTGTAGCCTGATTAAAAATTAAGATTAAAAATAGCGACTTTTTATTAATCTTACAATTCAGAATTTTTTCGCGCAATTGCGAGTTTATATGTCACAATTTCTATTTTTCTTCTCCGAATTGTGAGCTTATAGTTTATACAAACTTTACAAGTTTATATCTTGCAATTCTGATTTCATATCCGGCAGTTCAGAATTGCGAAAAATTGTCGTGCCCCGAAAATATCATCGGACGTGTTTCTTGTGTTTTAAATTTGTTTATTTTTTGCCTTGCATGTATTGCGGATCCCCTTAAGGTTGGACGCTGATTGTTATTGTATTTGGTTTTATTCTATGCCGTTACCTCTATGAGTTCTTGTATTCTATGTTTAATAAAAAATAAATGGAACTGGAACGCAAAAAAAAAAAAGTTGAGATTTGCGAGAAGTCAAAATTGTGAGTTAAAAGTTGCGATTACCTTTTTTTTTATCGCGTGGCTTCGACGTCAGATATTTCGAATACATTTAATTTTATATTTCATTCTAATTCTTACATTTTTCGAATAAATTTAATTTGATTCCATTTAATTTTTATTCCATATGATTTCTGTGGGCCGCGTTACGCCCCCTATCGGTAACCGGGGTCCGCGTATTATACGCGACTTTAGGATTCTTTTTTTTTGTAAAAAATCCCAGGTTGCGACTTTTTGGGCTTATTTTTAAAAATATGGTTGCTTGTTAGTTAAACCTGACGAGGAATTTCGTTTCTTTTCATTTATGTTCACTGTATATATGCATTGATCATAGACTGTATAAAAACATGGACGTAGTGCCGTGACGTCACCCGCAGGTTCCTGAAGAGGTTTTTGAAGCTAAAAGTGGGCGGAGCCAGCCGTCGCCATCTTGGCAGCGTGTCACCGCGCGTCACTCCCGGATAATCGAAGATGGGCAAAGAGGCGGGAGCAGGTTGCTGAAGCCACGCCCACCTAGCTCGACGGTGGTGACAGCAGCGGCAATCCTCCTGTCACTCAAGTGGCCACGCCCTTAATTATGCAGAACTTTAAGGCTTAATATAATTTAAACGGATGAGTTATAAAAAAATTCACGCACCTCGCAGTCGTCGTGAAGGGCAAAATTAGCTATATAGACCAAAACCATGTTTTGAACCAGACTGTAAACATGTTTTTTTCTGCTGTAAAGTTGGGCATTTTAACATGGGGAGTCTATGGGACTGACTCTAGCGGCCAGTCGATGAATTACAGTTTCAGTCACTTCCGTGCTGGCTTCACGAGAGAGAGCGCGAGGCTGCCACTTGGTATACATACAGAGCGCATTTAGGCCACGCCCACACAATCCAAAAAAAGAATCCTAAAGTCGCGTATAACACGTGTATTGATTGACTCTCACAGTTAACAGCCAATCGTAGAGGAGTGGGATGACTTTTTTCTAAGGTAGCCTAAATTTTATTTTTTACAATGTTTTTGTAATGCATTAATTATCACTGGCTTTTTCCATCCGTCCAATCCTATTGCGCTTGGAGATGAGCTTTGTTCCTGCTTTTTGTAAAATAGCTTTTTGCTTTTTTTTCCAGATGAAAGGGTAGTTTCAGTTTCGTGTGTTCCGGGCTGATTTATTGGCAGTAAATAATACTGATGCTAATAAATTATAAAAAAAATATCGGGCTTGTTTTTGAAGCTGCGGTTGCTCGTTTGTCTCGCGAGAGTTGGTCACGAGTGTCGCTGGTGCGCATGCGCATGACTCGTGTCCTTCTCTCGGCGCTCGACGCAGCGGGTGCTGAATGCGACAGAGCGCGGCCGATCGACCACATGTCATCAACAACCGCATAAAACTTCGAAGAAGTTGTGAAAATATCTGCCGTTTAAACCCAGTTTCATGGAAGATTCTGGTAAGTATCCTTCCCGCCGCAGATTTCCCGCGATTCGCGCGCGTTTGCTTCTGAGGTAAACGAGCGGCGGCGGCTAGCTAGCACTTTAGCTAGCGCGCGAGGAGACCAGGCCGAAACCAGACCGTTTTCTTACTTTAATAACACGTTGTGCTGGTTTAGAAACGAACTCGCCTTTGAAATGCCTCCCGAGAGCGTGTTTTGATCGGTACGTTCACAAGCTAACGTTAATTCGACGGTTTACCGTGTGAGGTTCGACCAGGAACCGCGACACGAACAGTTCATCTAGCCGCGGATATAACGTTATAATCGCAAAGCCTCTGGGATATTCTTGTGGAGTCTGTTTCACAACGCTTTGTTTCTCAGGTGACCTTTATTTGTACAGCGCTTTATATAATACTGATCGCGTCAAAGCAGCAGCGTTTAAAGAGGCCTTCCGCCAATTAAAGTCTTCGTTACATTCGTGAAGTTATGGCGTTAAATGTTGCAGAAAATGCGTATCATCTTCCTCAGCATTGTTGTCTTGGTTTTCAGAACGAATTTCTAAACATCCTGAAATCAAGATGTTATTTCTCCTTCTATTTTTTGAAATAAAGTCATACTTTTATTCGGGCGAAGATGTGTTAAATTGATAAAAAGTGACTGTAAGGACTTATATTGTTAGAAAAGATTTCTATTTTGAATAAACGCTCTTCTTTTTAACTTTTTATTCATCAAAGAATCCTGAAAAAAGTATCACAGTTTCCCAAAACAATATTGTGCAGCACAACTGATAATAAGCAGCATATTATACTGATTTCTGAAGATCATGTGACACTGAAGACTGGAGGAATGATGCTGAAAATACAGCTGCGCATCACAGGAATACATTACAGTTTAATGTATATTAAAATAGAAAACCAGTATTTTAAATGGTAAAAATATTTTACAATATTAACACTTTTTTCTGTATTTTTGATTAAATAAATGCAGCCTTGATGAGCAGATGAGACTTCTTCTAAAAAAAAAAAAAAACATTAAAAATATCACCGATCCCAAACTTCTGAACAGCAGTGTACGTTTACCGGAGATGCAAAATGAAGACATGAAGTCTTTTTCTTCAGGCCGTTTTGCATCCTATTTTTGTAAAATTAATTAAAAAGTGATGGAGGTTGTCATGCTTTGAAGTGTTGCTTGCATTTGATGAACATATTGAAGTGTGGCGTTCCTTGCAATTTATTCCTTACATTTTACCTTCATTAAACCGGCAGAAACCCTGTCGTCAGATGTTGCTTGATTTGTGACCCTGCAGCACAAAAGCAGTGTTGAGTCGCTGGGGGATATTTGTAGCAATAGCCAACAATACATTGTATGGGTCACAATTATACATTTCTCTTTTATGCCAAAAATCATTAGGATATTAAGTAAAGATCATGTTCCATGAAGATATTTTGTAAATCTCCTACCGTAAATATATCAAACCTTAATGTTTGATTAGTAATATGTATTGCTAAGAACTTCATCTGAACAACTTTAAAGATGATTTTCTCAATATTTAGATTTTTTTGCACCCTCAGATTCCAGATTTTCAAATATTGTTCTATCCTAACAAACCATACATCAATGGAAAGCTTATTTATTCAGC